GTGCTGAAGAGCTTGGGGAGACATGCCAAATAAACAGGAATTGCATATTCTTGGTGTAAATTCCATGATACTGTAAAGCTTAGAGACAGGCTGGGTGGAGTGGAGCTGTCACTGGAAACCATCAAGTTTATTTTAGTGCTTGATGTGATTCTTAGGGCAGCAAAACAAACATCATGAGTGGAAGGGATTCCCCCTCTCTCTGCAGCCTCCATATCTCCAAACCTGTGCTGGGGACCTGATAGACTCTTTTGGTCACATTGGGATAGAGAGAGAATACTGGGGAACAAAGACATCAGAGGGAAAGTGGGATTGCCCATCTTTAAAGCAATCTACTTTTCTTACCTGTAATTTTCACTCCTGAAAAAAATCACAGCTTCCAAATGTGCCATCTCATCCTAAATAATCAGATTTATTATTTTTTCATATTCACCATCCTAGACGCATAGTATTTATTTATTTATTTAAATGTTAATTATAATTTCTTCATCGTGGCCTCTGTCAATGCACACAAGTGGGTTGACAGCACCTGTGCTGGTCCTCTCGGAAACCTCTAGAGCTTTTGAAGAAAGTAACAAAGTTTAGTTTGCCCCTATAGCACATGCTTGGCCCGCCTCAGCCTTCAGTTCCATTTTACCACCGTTGGTGTTGGAACCTCTCGCCTAGAGCTCATTATTTTATATATTTTCGGTGATTATTCGGACTTTGACGCGGACTTTCCTAAATATTTTGGACTAACTGTTGCCCCAGACTCAGACTGCATGACTATTCTTCTCGCTTACGCCTCAGCAAGTATTTGTTGATATTGTTGATTGTGGTTTCCCACCCTTTTCATCTGCTGCCATTGCGGCATGCTCCACTTCCTGATTCAATTATTCAATTATTACACTTCCATTTCCAAGCACCGCTTTATGTCCCATTCCGGACCTTTTAGCCATTGCACCTCCTGTTCCCGCAAACTGGTTTTTTCTGATGGTCACGATTTATGTGTATTCTGCCTGGGAGAAGCCCATCAGCCCCATCTTTGCAAGCACAGTAAGAATTTTACCAAGGCAGCTTTGAAGGCTCGACAACAACACCTAAAATTCCTTCTCTGGGATAAGACACTTTTGGCTTCTCAACCCTCAGAAATGGAAATGACTCCAACTCCCTCATGCATCAGATCGGAGACACGGGTTGCTTCACCACCCCCTCTCCCAGCTGTGAAACCCGCTGATAAACCCACAAAGAAATCTACTGGCAGGAAACCACGTACCTCTACACCGAAGGTTTCTAATGCTGCCGGTGACCTGAAATAGAAAAAATCAACGTCTAAAAGCAAAGAAAAGACTAAAGCTCAACATATGACTGTACCTCCTGTCTCGGCGTCGGTACCTTCGCCTGTTTTGGAAGACTCCTCCCATGACCGGGAATCTCTTTTAGAGGCGGCCGCTTCTTTGCCCCATCAACACCAGGATATCTCACCTGTCAACATCAGCCAGTCGCCTACCGTCAGCCAGCTAGTACATACACTTACTAACTCGGCAGTTGCCCATGACAGCCCTGTTTCCACCGGGCGGGTTTCACCGACCCCTTTGTCGGCATCTGTATCTTCGAGACCCAACTCTCCACCCCAGAAAAAGTCGGCCAAGACAAAACACCTGTCTCCCCCTCTATGTCGGTCTTCTCAGAGTATGTGCAGCCCCATCTAGAACAAGCCACATGCCTGGAACCTCTGCTCCATGGAACCTGCATGTGGTGACAGTTCATTTCTAGTTTATTGGTTCTCATCCCACAGTAATCAAGAACAAACATAAGCAAGGAACAGAGTTGAATGTCATAGCAGAGTGAAGACACCCAGTTCCAATCTCCTGCTGACTTTAGTAGGTGGCTTAATGTTAAATAATATGTTAAATAATATGTGAGACAAGTTATAATTGTGCTGCACCCTGACCTTAAAAATCAACATGCAAACACGTTCTGAAAACCACCCTCTGGAAACAATATTGAAGTAACACCACTCATGCCTCTAAATATCTGCCTCACAGAGCTGTTTCCAATATGATACCATAGTTAGCAATATGAAAAGTCATACTGAGAGACCCAGTAGGACCAACAAGTGTACATTCACCTTCACTTCTCCAAAGTGGATTATCCATAATGACAACAAAGGTTGTTTAGGCCCCGAATCCCAGTCTGTAACCAGGCTGAAATGGATGCAGAATACTCTCAACTCTTTAGAGCACCTTGTCCCGAGAGAAGGAATATCAATAGCAGCATAGTAGTCAATGGTGTCCACAGAAATATGGGTGGGGGTGTCTGTTAATGCCGAGGGAGGCCCGAAGGGAAAGAACGAGAAACCGGGCCTTCTTGGCAGTGGCCCCTCGCCTTTGGAACAGTCCGCCCCCAGAGATCTGTCTGGATCCCTCGCTGGGTATTTTTAAGAGCAAACTTAAGACCTGGCTCTTTAGGCAGGCTTTCCCTCCTGTCATTACCTCATTATTTTTCCCATTGTGAACTACATTATTACTGTTGTTTCTTATTATATTGTTTTTATTTTATCTATTATTGTTAGCCGCCCAGAGTAGTCTTCGGTCTAGATGAGCGGGGTATAAATTTAATAAATAAATAAAATTAATGGATTTTTGACTTGAATATACAGTGTTATATTATCATATGGATAGGGTGTCTATATCTTATAATACTTATAGGAACAGCAGCAGCATTAGATCAGAACTAAACTGCCTACTTACTCCAGTCAGCTGTCCTTAAGAACAGGGCAGGGAGTCGTGGTCTCACAGCTGAAGCCTGCTGTATTCTCATTGGCCTCAATCATCATTTTACCAACATTTCTTTTTGTGTTGCTAGAATGTGTGTGTGTGTGTGAGAGAGAGAGAGAGGGAGGCAGGGAGGGAGGGAGAGGGAGAGATGTACTTGATGTACACATTTTAAAGAATAACAAATTTAGGAATTTGGGAGGGGAACAATGAGAAGCTTAGTTTTCAAATATTGCCCAACTATCATCATTTTGCTAAACTTGGCATATGAGGATCAAAATGTAAAGATTGGAACTTTTATCCTATTTTCATGGCCTTTTTTTTTCTTTTGCCAATCTGAGTACTACCTCACCCTTGAACTGCTCTGTATGACTGCATGCACTTTCCCTAGTCTTCTAATAAACACATAAATGCATTAGCTTAGTATGAAACCCTTATATGAGGCATCCGTTTTCCTAGGCCTGGAATTGCACTGGTTTCTTTGTCCAGAACCCTGTACCATTGGAAAAGAAAGAAGGGAAGGAGAGCGAAAGAGAGAGAGAAGGACTTATCCCTTAGGATATAATTATGGGATACAAGCTTTCTGCACAGAGTTTTATATATATATATATATATATATATATATTTTCCATTACCTGTGATTTAGTGATACAGTGCTACATTATAGTACAACAGCTTATGCCAACTTTTCCATTATAACCCCTTTTTACAGGTTTATAACTCAGCAGTAAAATACACTTTTCCAATTTGAAACTTGGCATGCAACATCTCATCCTGGCTTCCCCTCCCCCCAAAAATTACTTTTACAGAAGTAAAGAAGAATGTGTCTTCTTTTTCTTCATCTAACAACTGAAGTTATTTTTATAGGAGAAAAATAGTTTACTTTTTTTTCCAGAGGTCATCGTTATGATTCACATTATGCTATGGATTGAACAGTAGGCAGCTTTGTTTCTCCTGAAATGGTCTGTTTTTCTATGTGCATACATTGCTCAGTCTTTTCAGGATGTAGAATCCAATGCAGTGGTAACCATTCAATTCTATATTAATCAGAGGACACTTATCTACTCAGTTGAACTATTTATGCCTAGCTTAATGCCATCTTGTTATCTGTGTGGCAATGTTCTTTTCCTGAAGACTTGCAAAGGGCAGCAGGAGGCAGAACAGAAGATCCTGCTTACCAGGCCTGCACTGTACTTAAGAGAAGGCCAGATGGTAATTTGGAATAGTGATATTGCAAGAAGCACAGTGTTCTTTCAAGTAAAGGACCATGCATTGTGACTTGAAAGTGGTTCTCTGCGCATAGAAGATAGAATTCTTAAGTCTGCATGTGCTCACTCTTGTCTGCAGCTAATGGCAGTTTGTTACTCTTTAAAGCAGGATTGGCCCTATCGTTAGGAACAGAGGCAGCTGCCACCCCCAAACACAAGCCAGCAGATTTTTGATAACATGAAAAAGCAGCAAATTAATTATTTAGTGCTGTTGTTATTATATCAGAGATTATTGTCTTCTATTGAGTTTTACTGTATTGGGCTATTATTGATTAGCGAGAAGTGTTTACAGGCTGTACCAAATAATTTGGCTCGTTTTGAGGATATACGCCTTGATTTAGATTGCTTACAGGGGTTCTGTTTGCTGCTCCACCTTCCAGAGTAAAACATCCTGTCTTGACCTTGTCTAAAGGAGCAAAGAAATGACTCAGAAGCCATGAAGACCATCCTTCTTGCACCAAGCTTTGATGTCACTAGACTGCATGTTGTTCACCGCACAGATATCATTTATGCAATTATCAAACAATATAAAACAGAAGCTATAATAGCAAGTTGTGTGGGCTTGTCTCTTTACTGCACTAGTCCTTTAAAGTTCAACAATCTGATACCTGCATTGGAATTTATGGAGGGGGGGGAAAGTCGTACAATTTTATTTAAGCATGAGTTGCATTATTTATGTTGCCATACATGTATGTTTGGGTAAATGCAAGCAACTTACAACTGCAGCCTCCATCCAGTTGGGTTCACGAGCGATAAAACTACCCACCACTTCAGTGGGTATGCTATACCCATAGAAGTTGAAGCCAGAGCCTCTCTGGACTACAATATACAGAGTAGTCTCTAGAGTAGTCGGGTTTATATGTTCGTGGAATTATTCCTGTGAAGTGATGTGGGAATGTACTACGACCAATCAGTGATGTCATCTTTGATGTTATTAACAAAACAGAGCTGCAAAAATAAATTTTTCATCTTTCTTCAGGTGCCAAAGCAGAGCTTCAATGAATCTGTAGTGACGGAATTGTGTGTGACTGGGGTAAGACTTCACACTTTTGTTACATTGGTATGTGTGTGTTTTAGCACAAACAGTACTTTTTGTCTTTTGAGAACCAGCTTTTCTGAAATTTTTCAGACAAATACATTTGTTTAGGATATAACTTCCCATCTGGTGGCGTCCATGTGTTTTCGATTGCAACTCCCATCACCATGACCATTGATCATGATGGTTTGACTGATGGGAATTATGTTTCATTTATTATGCTCCAATTATGCTGGGGGACACAAGGTTAGGAAGATGTGCTGGGTTAAAGTTCCATTCTGCACACTTGAGGACTGCGAATTTTTATCCTATATTTCAATACTATTTCTGTAGTCTAAAAGTTCTTATGACCATGGCAGCCTTAGGCTCTGTCCCCTTTAATGATTAATCTGCAGGCCTTGCCAAAATAGGCAGCATTACCTTTGCCTCTGCTTCCTCCCAAAAGCTGGAACAGAGACTAATGTAGCATATACTGTAGAGTCAGATGTCCCCAGGGCTGCATTGGAGTCTTTTGACTTGTGTTCTTCATTGCTCTCAGCTTGGTGGCTGAGAGGAGCTAACTGGAACACAGAGACTCCATGCTTTACACTGAAGCAACTGTTTGCTGTCTCTGCTTTTCTTTCCCATCTTTGCGCATGGTAAACCAAGGGATTGGCAAGAATAAACCCAAGAAAGACAATAAGGAAACTGTGGGCTGCTAAAGTACAGTGGTGCCTCGCTTTACGATTGCCCCACAATACAATGAAACCGCTTAACGGCGATCTTTTTGCGATCGCAATTGCGATCGCAAAACTATGGTCTGAATGGGGGAATTTCGCTTTGCGATGATCGGTTCCCTGCTTCGGGAACTGATTCTTGGCAAAACAATGTTTTTTGAACAGCTGATCGGCGGTTTCAAAATGGCCACCGGGTAATTAAAATGGTTCCCCACTGTGTTTAGAGACGGATTCCTCGCTATACAGGCAGCGAAAATAGCCGCTGTATGGAGGATCTTCGCTGGACGGTGATTTTTTACCCCAGTGGAACGCATTGAATGGGTTTCAGTGTGTTTCAATGGGGCTTTTATTTTCGCTTTACAATGTTTTCGCTTAATGGCGACTTTCCTGGAACGGATTATCGTCATTAAGCGAGGCACCACTGTATGTAGATGTGTTCTGGCTGTGTAACAGCTACATCAGGGCAAGTGAATTAGGTGCCTTTGTCCAGAGTTTGAAAAAGTTACTTTTTTAGAGTCTTAACCCCTAGAATCCCCAGCCAGAAGGGATATTTGGACAGCTGTAATCCAAAAAAGTAATTTTCCCAAGCTCTGCCCTTTGTAGATAAAGATGGAGCTGAACTTCCAAACGAGATGCTTCCACTCCTTATTTATAACAAATATTTTTAACACAGAGGTATTCTTTTGGAAGAGTTGATACTGATTTTATGTTGGAATGTTCATTGTGGCCCAGGAAGGTCAAACCTTGCCCAGAATAGTATTGACCTTTAGTTCTTCAGCCGAAAGGTAATTACCTTTTAATTCTCACATAGCATATGATGTTGCAGGTCACATGATAATTACCCTGCATCTGCTAGTAATCTGTAAGAAGAGGTACTCACATGGCTGTTAGTAAGGCCCTTAAACATAGCAGATCAGATTTTATGGCTGCCAGAATACCGCTCTTGGTTAAATGAAATGACAGTTACTTAAACCGTGCAAAGAATAAAAGTGACAAGCAGGTTCCATGTCTTATATTATCTCCTGGAACATTTAGTCTGTTTTCAAGGCTGTTCTTTCATGAGAGTACAGAAACCACCTGCATATTAGTCTTATGTGGCTGGAAAAATCCATGTATTCGATTGAAGCCACAGTATAGCTGTGGACAGACCAGAGCTTTGCCATATGAAATTAAAACCACAGGTGGCATGGGAGGAGAGTAACACTCCTAGTACACCCTCCCACTTTGGCACGAGCTAACAGACTAGGCTGCTGCCAAAGTGGCAGACAACCCGCTTGCTTTTCTTTATTGGCCTTAGTCTTCCCTGGTTGAAAGGGGATCATAGTCTACCTATATGGCACCACTAAATTAGGCTGCACAAAATTAGCTTTTAAGCTAGCCTTCCTATTTTTTTTAATTAATTGTCATTGAGATTTGCCTGGAGCTTAATTACTGTGAGACAAAGAGGCTCTCTTCAAAATACAGAGAAGAAAATCATCCGTCCGACATGTGTCATCTAGTCAAAAGGAAGTCCCATTTGGTTCACTGGGGCATATTCCCTGGAAACTGCATACTGTATAGGTTTGTACATGAATGTGTTTTTTTATAAATAAACTTGCTCATGGTCTCAGTGATGTCCCTCTGAAAGAAATGGGATTGTTACCAGAAACACACTCGCATCCACAGTGATAGTAATGGTTAAGACCATTTCAGTCTGGGGAGGCTGTGCAAGAATGAAGAATGTTACTTGCATGCAAAGTGAAATAATACCCTTTTTAAAAAAAAGAGGATTTAAAATATCCTGCTATGGGCTAATGGAAATGTGATGACCAAAGGAAGTTCTTTGTGTCTTCCAGAATGCAATCGGGAAGGAAAGCGTGGCAGGGGGCTCCACCAGTCACATATCCTCTGAAAATTCCGCTACTCTTCGTTTAAGCATCAGGCCAAGCACACTGCTCATGCTGATGGCAACTGCACTCTCGTTCTGCTTGTGCCCACGTTCAGCAGAAACCTGGTATCTGCTTTAACAAAAGGACCTGTACAAAGCCAAAAAGGAAAGGAAGTCGAGCTTTTTCCTGTCCTCCTCCATTGTTGATCTAAAATTACACTTCTAGAATTTAAGTTGAGGCACTCTGATAAAACAAAATATAGTTCTGGATCATCATCGTTGTCGTCATATTGTATTGTTATTATGATTGTTATTACTTTCTTATTTTCAAAGGAAGCTTCTTGTGACACTTAGGAGCTTTGTGAGATACTTGATGCAGTCCTACATTCCAACTCCAGAAGGTTTTTGGACATGGCAATGTTTTCAAAAAGGTGGAATGTCAATTTGCATGTAAAACATCCAGGTTTGATCATTTCCCTCCTCCTTTCCCTTTCCTTTGCTGTTTTGATTCTACCGAAGAAGAAAAAGGCCATGTTCCTTTTCCACTGTAATGTGGGGCACAATCAACCAGGAAGTTGGCCTGTGCCATACGAGGCCCATGGCATATCTGCAGATCCCAGTTGTTTTGGTATTAGGTGAGGGTGGAGGTACACTTTAATCACAATTCATGCCAAAACTGTTGCTTCTGGTAGGGGTAGACATGTTCCCAGAGTGAACTGAGGACCCAATGTTTTCTGGCAGGTTTGGCCCACTCTGGAAAAAGACATGAAATGTGGAGAGACAGGGAAGGATGGCATCGTGCATAGCATTACATGCCACACCCTCCACCTAGACATTTCTGGCACACTGAGGTATTGGTGTGATCCCTGCCCCCCAACACGCCACAAAGAAGAAAAGGGAGGCCTTGTGTAAGGAACACTCCGTTGGATTTTAGCCTTGATTATTTTATTATCATGACTATTGTTTTCAAATTATATATATTTTGAAATAACAAAGGAGCAGGCTGTTGACACATGTTGAATGTCTTCCTAGAGAGTGAAATTTTATGAAACTCCTTCATGTTTATAGATGGTTACCAATGTTTTAATGTTTTGCATTCTCTTCCATGTTTATATATGTACGTGGTTTTGCAGTCCTTGCTGAGAAGCCATTGTAAGTCATATACTAGTATAAGGCACATATTTTCTTCAAAATTTCTGCAGAAATAGACTGCGATATTAAACTTTTTAACATTGCGTTTATTTTTCTGATTACAATCATTTAGCCTTAAGAAGAGGTACAAGAATAATCCTACATTAACAAGAAACAACTGTTGTGAATATTTCAGTAACCTAAGATTATTTTATCTTTCTGGGGATATATTTAAAGAAATAGAAACTTGTTTTTGTTAAAGGACTTCAATTATTCAATTGTTGGTCTTCTTTATTGTAATTATACAGCTTAGTTATTTTACTGTTGGTTGAATAAAAATGACTTGAAACTTAATTACTTTAAAGAAACAGCATTATCTGCTTATGTTTAATTCTGGGAAAGAGGTGTGAGGTAAGGTATAATTCTCTCTTCATTTTAAATTCTTCCTCCCAATACTCAGAAGAAACCAAAAGCACAGCAGAAGGCTAGAACATGATGCTATATTTGCAGGGATGTTGTCATTACATGCCGTCAAGTCACCTCTGACCTATGGCAGCCCTATGAATGAGTGACCTCTGAAATGCCCAGTCATTATCAGCCCTGTTCAGCTCTTGTAACTCAAGCCCCTACCTTCTTTTAGGAAATTACTCCATCTTGGTCTTCCACTTTTCTTGCTTGCACAGATACCATACTCATTTACTAGATGTGGTGATTTTAACCACCTGATATGTGCACATGCCTAGTACAGTATATTTGATACAGCAGGGGAATCACAAGACCTAAATCATCAGTCCTTGTGCCACTGAAATGGCTTGCCCTGAAATGCATGCCCATTTTTCTCTTTTATCAGGTAGAAGAACTGATCTTTGAAAACCATCCATTTCATCACTGTCTAAATCACTGAAACATTGAATCCTGGCCCAGTGGTGTGTTATGTTGTTATCTGCCCTGCTCCTGCATGTTGCCACTGAAGACTGGCACCTATTGTGATTGTCTCCAGCATTTGGTGAGGGTGTTCCATGTGGGACACAGTGGACTAGCTGAACCAAATTTATTGCAGGGCTTGACGACATCTTTTTTCTTTGTTTGACTTAGTGCAAGCACTCCTCTGGGAAGTTTACAGGTTAAAAATTAAAACCTCACAAAGACCCCACATAAAAATGTACATTCACACAAAATGGCGAAAAAGAAAAATCTGTAGAAAAAGAGAAAAAATGAAAGCATCCTGGAGATTCAGTTGTTGAAGACAGTTTTGAATAATTCAGTTTTTACTAATTCCCTGAACATGAGGAGGGAAGATATGCCTGGCATATCTCAGTTGGTAATTTGTTCCAGGGACTGGGAGCCACCACCAAAAAAGACCAATTCCTGGTCATTTTCTTTTTGACCTCCCTTGGTGTGGCCACTTACAGCAACACGGATTGAGAGGAGTGGGTGGAACAGGTAGCTGATTTCTGGGAGAGACATTCCAGATGTTGTTAGATAGTGATCCCAATAATCTCTTGCTAGTGAGGAGGGATGATGGGGCATGTACCGCAGCAATACCTGGGGAATCTACACAATTTCAACTGTGACTGTAGCACCTGCTTTAACACTCAGTGTATCAGCTAGATAGACTTACTTCTGTTTGCTTTGCATGGAATGTCTTTAGATTTGGTTACAAGAAGCCACACTGTTCCAGAGTTACAGTGATATAGTTATAAGTGGGATGTGTTCAGTCATCTCAAGAGGGTTTATCATTGAATGGTTTCATTTGAATTACACACAGCTAACAGTTGTAGGGCAAACTATCCAGTTTCATTTTATAAAGCTCACATTAATAGTTTGCTTGCAGCTCAGGGGACTACTGCCATGAGACAGGGCTTTCAAGAACAGAGCCTTACATGGTTTACTTTAAAGAGTTTTGTTCGTGTACTTGATTCAAGTCATTTTTGATTTTCATTTGTTGACACTGACTGTCTATGAAAGACGAAGAGGATTTTGTTCCAGGCCTGAAAGAGATTCATGTATATCATCAGATGGCCAGCGCTTGTCCTCAGGACTGTTTTGATACTGAGCTCTGGTGTCTTAGTGGCCCTTAAAGTAAAGAAGCAGCGGCTGCACAATCAACAATGATTAGCTTTCAGTTTTATCCACCATGGGAGATAAGTCAAGGAGTACGTTGTTTTAAATTCAGTGTGTCACATCCCTCAAAAAGAAAAGAAAAAAACATTGCCAGGCTGTGATCGAACACTCAGATATGTTTCCCTTGTTTATAATACAGTCCTCTTCCACAGATCTGTATGAATGTGGAATGTCTGGTCCTTATGTTTCCCTTGTTTATAATACAGTCCTCGTCCACAGATCTGTATGAACAAAAGTGTGGAATGTCTGGTCCCTCTGATGGTACCCATCAAGCAGTGGTTCCCCATCCCTTAGAATTATGAAGAGATATGCATCCTACCAGTCATTTTGTTATGGGCAATGACTGATTGATAATTTGATATTCTTGTTCTGTTCAAAGAATTTGGACAGTGCTCTGTACAGAGATGTGGAATTTGGGGCAAAATCCAGTGGTGTCGTTCTGCTAGATCCAACTGTTTCTACCAGGCTTAGCAACCTCTTCTTCCTCTTACAGCCCCCAGTATCCCCTAGTCATCTGCTAGGAAATGTTGAGAAACCTTCTGAAGCTGCAACAAGAGAGAGAGGAAAAGGAAATCCCCATTCCATTACTCTTTGAAATTAAAATATGCCATTAAATCTTGGACTCTGTTTTCAATACTGAGGTCACACACACAAATATTTTCTATCTCTTATTTGAAAAAGTGAGAGAAACACCCCCCCCTTGTATATGCTTATTAAAGCTTCGAAGACTTTAGGATCAGCATTCATACATTTCTTAAGAAGCGTAAAATATATCCATAGCTAGAGTATGGCCTCTTGCTGCAATTTATACCACATAAGGCTTATGGCGGCGGCAGCAGTGATATTATGAAAATTAAACATTTTCAACTTCTCTACCAAAGGGCTTAAGGCTCCCAACTAATCCCTTTCATCCTTGGGAACCGTGGGATGGGAGGGAGGAAGCTTTAATTACTGAAAATTGCCTCTGCCAATTATGTTATCCAGGAGGAAATATTAAGATTCCAAAAATTCCTCCTCCTGCTTCTGATGTCATCAACTTTATGCAGTGTAAGTTATGGCAACAGTATTTCAGCCTCTGTTCTGGAATCACTCAATAGGGCATTAAAAAACATTAGACCACTGCTTCTTCTCAGGCTTACACACCAGAGGCTGTGGTTCATATTGTGCAAGCACAAAAGAGTGCTTCTTGGGAAGGAAAACACCACAACTAGTGCATATTGACTAATGTTATTGGATCCATTTATCATGATCTCTGATATGGATTCCAGTGCCTCTTTGCTCGCAGCAGGTGATTAGGTCTGTCAAAGTTGACAATTCTTCGTGAATCTGTGACTCACACTCTGGGTGATTCGCGCCTGCCAGGAGCCTCATCGGAAGATTTTACATCTTTTGTGGTAACAATGAACGCACTAGAATATGCCCCTCCTCACCCGTATAAGTACCTTGGCGCCAAGCATCCCCTTTCAGTTTCTTTCAACCGCCGCGTTGAGAGCCTCATAATTCTGCTTCTGTGAGTAAAAGAGAAAGAGCTTATTCTTGATTCCTTCCTGTTATCAATGTTTTTCTTTTAAACTATTAAACTCTTTATCATCAGAGATTTTTTTTCCTTTCCCCTGACTCAGCCTCCAGCTGCATCTCCCCCCAAAATCATCGTTTTTTTCTCTTCAATTTTCTGCTTGGGAGAACAACATCAAACTTCCTCCTGTACCCATTGCAAAAATTTTAAGCATGGAGTTCTTCGATCTCGCCTTTTGAGGCTAAAACTCCGACTTTGGGAGCAATCCTTACAACGAGTTCAAATTTATTTATTTATTTATTGGACTTATATACTGCCCCATAGCGCTACAAGCACTCTCCGGGCGGTTTACAATTTAATTATACAGGCTACACATTGCCCCCCCAGCAAGCTGGGTACTCATTTTACCGACCTCGGAAGGATGGAAGGCTGAGTCAACCCTGAGCCGGCTACCTGGGATTTGAACCCCAGGTCGTGAGCACAGTTTTAGCTGCAGTACAGCGTTTTAACCACTGCGCCACGAGGCCCAACCTCCCTGTAGGGCCATTTCCCAAACCAAAGCAAGAGAAAAAACCATTACTGAATCATTGAAACAATGTCCATGGGCTACACCAGCTCATTCTGATTCTCCATCTGCATCATTTAAGACCTCGAAGACACACAAATCGAAACCCTCCATACTGGAGTCCTCGACTTTGAAAATGACCTCTAAACTTCAGAGACCGACTGAAGCTGCTCCAACTCTGGAGCCTGTTCCTCATAAACAAGCTAAACAGTCTAAGCCTACATATATCCCACCACAACCATAACTCTGAATCAATTTCGGTTGGATCTCCCTCAGATGATGACTTCCATCCCATCAACCCTGTTCTCAGTCTCCACAATGGGATGATAGAGCCAACCAACTAACGTCCTCTCCTCCCAGTCCACAACCTTCCATTCCTTCCAGCAATCCTTCGGTTATTCCATCACCCAAGGATTCCCATCCCGAACGGCTCAACACCGTTCCATATTTGATTCCCTCGGATCGCACACTGATCCCTAACCAGAACCGTCAACATCAAATATCTCGACAGCTCATTTCATTGTATGTGGTTCAAATCCATGCTCAGCATGTGCATCAGGTTGCCATTTGCCCTGACCAGTGCTCTACTCATCAAACTGCACCAACTAGTTGACCAGGTGTTTTACCCGGTTCTATAATACCATCTAATAGTCGGCCTACCTCTAGACAACCAACTGTGTTGAAGCAGCCACATACCTCAACCTGCTCCCCATTTGGTAATGAAAGAACCTCAGACAGTCGAGCAGATTTCATCCACACATGAGGCTTTTGCAGCCCCAGCCTCCCAATAATATCCTACTACAATAGATGACGGAAATCACTCTTCATACCTTGATCCCTGCCTTAATGGTGCATTGAGTTCTAGGCACCATGGTCTCTATTACATCAGTTGTAAAACATGTGCGTCTCAAAATAAGGTCTCTCCAATCCTGGTTTCTGGCCCTATTCGATCCACTAACAGACTCTCCCCACACTCTCCTAAGAGTCATTCCAGAACTGACCTCTCAGATTCAATGGTGGTATTCCCATTCTATCAAGCGACTGTTCCAATAACCTCACCCACAAATACAAGTCACTACCGATGCCAGTTGAACCGGCTGGGGAGCTCA